TGCAACTTCCCTTGGTGGCCCATATCGGTGGATCCCCTGCTGTGTAATTGCCTGTCTGGCCTAATGTAGCTTATCCTATCCAAGAAAAAAGAAGGAAGCCAGTGTGTTGCCTGGACTACAGTGCAAGTAGTGGATGTGACTAAACATAGTCTCATATTAAAAGTGTTGGGTTGACCTTATTTTTCACTCTTTTTACGTTCTAGAAACGTCTGATGCTAAATGGTCTAACACCATGGCGATCCACCAAGAGCGATATGTGCTGAATGACAGAGGTAAATCTATTCTATAAACTGTGGGTTTTCTCCGGAAGTTTTTCCTTTTATGATGTGAGGGTCTAAGGATAGAGGGTGTCGTTTTTATCATACTGATATTCTGAATAATCTGTGCTGTTGTATTAGCTGTAAAGTGTCTCTACTGTAGGCTATTTGTATTATATGTACAGTACTTTGGCTTGACCAAAAATCGTTTATAAATGTGCTATATAAATAAAACTTGATTTGATTTGATTTTCAGGAAAACAATAATGAACATTCTGTCAATAAGTATGGAAGAAGGAGGCATCTACCACTATATGGAGGAAAAAACACATATCTCAGTCACAAAAACAAGCCACAAGCTACTACACAGGTCAAAGGTGGCTTGGTTCTGATAAATGATGGGGAAAATTAGTCAGGCTTATGGAGCAGTAGTCATGGTAACACAGTGGGAGGTACTTTGTGGGGGATGAGTTGCAGAGGGAATGAGCAGAATAAGTGGAATTGCAGCCCTATAGAAAAGGCTTGAAACGTTTTAAGTTCTACGTAAGTATTACGTTTATTCTACAGATTCTATCAGACAGAATAAGACACTGTCAGAAGAAAAGGGGTTCCTTGAAACTGAACAGCAATAATCTCTGTCTTTCTGTGTGTGGGTAGGTACTTCACATACCTCTAAAACTCTTTATCCAATCTACTTTGCACTTAGTAGGTGTTTGGACCCAAAGCTGCGTCGAATGTGCTGCAATTAGGACACGAAACACGTTCAATAATAATACACTTTTAATAAAGAAGCTAATAGCGCTCAGCGTGGCTTCAGGGCTCTGCGGTCTGAGTCGATCATATCTTTGGCAGCATGCCTTCACAGGCCACAGCTTATTGACTTGTGCTGCTGGATAGACTGTAGTTACCTCGGTGCTGGATATGATGTTAATAATAATGAAGCAAACACTAATAACTTCACTGTAGGCAAAATAGCTCAATGAATTGTTCTACCTTATAACCGCATTGTTTGTCACAGCGGGTGTTTCTGACTCACTAGCTTCAACTTTGGTGTGTGACACAAATATGTCATGCCAGCAGGGATCATTTCGGCAGCTTAGCCTTAAGACCAACATACTTTAGTTATTTCTATCCATAGTTTAGTTTCGTAAATAATCTAAATGTTTGAGTCAAATTCAAGCCTAAAAAAACTAGTATAAACGTTTTTATTTTTTTATTTGACAGCTATTTTTCAATCTCTAACTGTTGTTGATTCCACATAAGATTTGATCCTTTTCCTTATCATCAAACCATTCCACAGAAAAGGCAGAAATAGTGTTGTAGTATTGTCAACAGAAGGTGTTCTTTCGTGAGGAGAGGCATTTTTTGGTTCCAGTTAAAATACAAGGTAAAACAAGAAAATAGCTTTATCCCTGTTTGTCTTCGGTTGACACGAACAACATAAATAACAGTAAATGTATAGCCCTGTCCAAGCTCTCAATGAGCCAGCAAACAATCTACTCACTGATGCCACTTTACCAGGTCCTATTGTTCCATATTTTATGAATATAACTTCCCCGCCATAGTAATCACAGTGAAAGTTTTGGTACTTGAAGAGTGTTGCTTGTACCCTGACCATACTGGAGCAGAAAGTGTCATTTTGTCCATGTCTGTGTAGAGTTATTACATGGGAACACACAGCAGTGTGAGTCATTGGTGCTTCTAACCATAGGTCCCATAGTGTCCATACATACACTACAAAGCCTACAGTAACACCAAAGCATACTAATTATGGCTATAAACAGAACATTAAATACAATAGATTGCGTGCAAATAGCACACAAGTCATACTAGGATACAGCAGATGGAAGGCACATTTAATGAGTAGCATTATCTTGGGAGAGAAACATTAAGAAGAGGTGATTATATAAATTAATGCATTTTAGAACTTATTCAATACTCAATCATTCTTGTTGCTGCAAAGTCCTGCAAGGACTACTGAGCAGCACATGCACTGGTCATTGTTTGAACAGCTTACACATGCTGGCTCATTCTGTTAGTTTCATTAACCATTTTAGGGCAATAGGCTATGTGTGTCAAAATGTCTTATTCTGATTCCTGAAATATGCCTAAAATCTAAGGGAATTGCTGGAGCGTAGTGATGCAACAATGAATGGGACATGACACGATTGAAGCTATTATGACCAAACAGTTTGTATGAAGCTCCTGTCTCTATCTAGACTCAAGGCTTGGATCTAGCAGTACTATCATGGCTTTAGTCTTCTTTTCCACTGAAATTGGTTGTCAACACCCTCTGAGCTCGGCTAGCTAGTTAGCTTCTACAACTCAGTGCCAGTTCAGCTGACAACAGGCTGACAGATGAAACGTGTAACTACTAGGCCTTTTATCAGTTGGTATATCACTGGAAAGCACATTTCTCTCTCTCACACACAGATACACATAACCCCTTTACTCCCGATTACAATAATATTATACTTCTAATCCATCCAATTATTAACATAGAACTTTAACTCTAGTTAAAACAATAAAGAACACTATTTAATTAGTGTGTTTAACTTGTTAGTTTAGTTTATTTGTTTATAGTGTCGTGGACAGTCCCCATTGATCAACTGTCACAAAAAACAGTAAATGGGGCAGCTTTAGCCAACATTGCTAATTTCCAGCTGTTGTCCCCGGCCAGATGATAATGGACACCCTTAAAATCACAATACATCCACAGCATTAGTTATAAAAAAAAGGATGAAAGACAAGTGGATACAGGCGAAAGGATAAACGAGAACAATAAAATGCAAACAACACACATTACTATACATGCCACATATAGCAGAAACGAGGGGCAACATCCATGATCACAACATGTAACACAAACGCAATATCCAAAACAGACTAGTGTGTAGAGGTTAAGTTCTCAGTGAACCATGTTTTTAAGCAAGCTGTAAATGTGGTAAATGTACGTACTGTATGTCTTTGATTTGAGTGGGTAGAGAGAAAGTTAGCATGTAATCTAGAAGCAAAACCAGCATATGGCATCTGCCTTCACTTACCATGCAGCCAGATGAGTCTGTCTGTCGTTCAGTCACACACTTGAAGTTCTTCTTACAACCACCGTTGTCTTTGGAGCAGTCACGGACAGGCCCAAAAGACTCCAGTAGGTCTTCTACTGTCTCAAAGTAAGTAGACATCATGGCCTCTTCCCTGGAATGGAAAACAAAGTTTTATACATTTTTTATAGTGTGAATAAAGATACACTGGTACAAGTAATGACAAGGACAAAAAGAATGCTTGAGCAGCCGAACATCCCTCACCACCTGGAAAGCTGTCTCTCATGACCTTGCAGTTAACCTTGCTGTTTAGTGCAATTGAGAAGCTATTAATGCTTGTATATAGTGTGACAAAATCGTTGGCTGTTGGTGGCTTTACCCTTCCTCCTACTATTAATGACTGCTTGTGATGTTCCCAAGCTCATGTTTTATTTCATAAAAGGTTAAGAGAGTCAGCTTTAATGGCTGGATAGTAATACATAGTATACAATAACGAAAATGTACAATGACAGAGCTGTTATTGAATAGCCTACAGCAGTGACCATCAACTTGTGGCCCGCGGGCCACATCCGGCCCGCCAGACATTCTCATCCGGCCCATACGGCGGGGGTGACTGAGGCGTTGGCGGAGTGGTTAGTGCGTTCGCCCCACACTCTTTTACAACGGCCCATTCCCAAAACGCCCCCTACACCCTACCCCTCCGTTTGCGCGTTCACACGGAGGGTCCGCCATATGAGGGCTGTTCCAAAGCAACGAGTGTGGAGCGGTGTGGGCTATCAAGCCCTCAAACAGCGAGTCTGCAGCGGTGCTGAGTTGAGACCGGTCTCTACCTGACCGGAGTCACGCTGTGTGTGTCCGTCAGGAAACACGCTGTTTACAAGTAGTTCCAGCAAACACCCACTGATAAATTGCGATTCTAACAACCTCATGATAACGTCATATGTTTTTAACTTAGGATCATAGCTGTGTTTAGTCTAGAAAAGGTAAATGTGTGCATTTTATTATAAAGTTGTGTAAATTTACAGACCATTGCAAAAACTAAGAAGCTTATAAACATCAGGTTTAAAACTAAAAGAGCTTTGAAACACTTTTTGCAATGGTCTGTAAATTTACACAACTTTATAATAAAATGCACACANCGTTGGTTTGGAACAGCCCTCAATATGGCGGACCCTCCGCGTGAACGCGCAAACGGAGGGGTAGGGGGTAGGGGGTAGGGTGTAGGGGGCGGTTTGGTAATGTGTGTAACAACGGTTTCAAATCAGCATCTCTTAGACAAAAAGTTTAAATTAATAACTCAAATAAAACTCCTAACATCTTTCATTGTGTTTCAAAGCTCTTTTAGTTTTAAACCTGATGTTTATAAGCTTCTTAGTTTTTGCAACGGTCTGTAAATATACACAACTTTATAATAAAATGCACACATTTACCTTTTTCTAGACTAAACACTGGTATGATCCTAAGTTAAAACATATGAGGTTATCATGAGGTTGTTAACATCGCAGTTTATCAATGGATGTTTGCTGGAACTACTTGTTAACAGCTTGACAGCAGCGGACACACACAGCGCGACTCCGGTCAGGTAGAGACCGGTCTCAAGTCAGCACCGCTGCAGACTCGCTGTTTGAGGGCTTGATAGCCCACACCGCTCCACACTCGTAGGCGGACCCTCCGCGTGAACGCGCAAACGGAGGGGTAGGGTGGAGGGGGCGGTTTGGGAATGTGCCATCGTCACTGCTCAGAGAAGTGCACTTCTCCCAGACCACGTTGATCAGATTATATTCCTGAACAAAAATCTGAAGAGAATGTAGATGCAGTTATGTAGAGAGGAGCCTTTCTGTTTAGTGTTTTTGGCTTAAATGTTACTCCT